AGAACTCTGAATTAAAAATATTTATTATATTTTTAAGTATAATTAAAAAGACTATTACAGAAAAAATAGATTCTGATAATAAAACATCTAATTTAATTAAAGAAGAGAAAATAAAATAGACTCTTTCTAAATATTATCATAATCTAGTAAATATCTTTTTTAAAAAAAATTAGATATTTTATCTATCTTCTGATTCCATGATTATCATATCTAACTAGAAATAAATAATCTATTAAAAATAGTTTTTTTTTATAAGATAATTTTAGAAAAACTCAAAGCTATCTGTAATTATATTATTAAAAATTTAAAAAAAAGATTTATTATATTTAATACAGTCCTGTTTATTTTTTTTATTTTAATAATAAAAAAGTCTAGAGAAGAATTATATTTATATATTAATTATTAAAAGCTTAATATTCTAATCTATAAAGATTCTTATTTTATTTTTTTAATTAATAAGATAATAGACTATCTCTAAAATATAAAAATATTTATAAAGCTTAATATCTGTTAAGACTTTTATTATATTTATATAAATTCTAAATCTAAAGATTTAACTATTTTTTAAATTTATTATAAAGCTTTTAAATATTAAATATTATTATTTAAATTTATAAATAAGCCAGCAGCTTTCCAGTATTTTATTAATAAGATTTTTATAAATTTCCTGGATAAGTTTATCACAGTATATATAAATAATATATTAATCTTTAGTAAAAATAAGATAAAATATAAATTTTATATTTATTAAATCTTTAAATATTTTTAAACAGCTAGATTTTAAGTAGTAATCTATAAATATAAGTTCTATATAATAAAAACTAGATTTCTAGATTTTATTATTACTACTATAGATATTTAGATTAATCTTATAAAAATTATTATAATTATAGAATAACAGTATCTGATTACTATTAAAAAAATCTAATTATTTCTTAGATTCTATAATTTCTATTAATATTTTATAAGAAACTATAATTAAATTATTAAATTTATAAATCAGCTTATCTAAAAGAATATTTTATTTATCTAGAACTAGTTTTATAAAATAATTTTCTAGATTTTAAAATAAGTCCTGATATCAGCTTCTATATTAATCTATTATAATCTATTTAGACTTATATATATTAAAACTGATATAGCTAATAGAATAATTACAGAAATTCTTTATTAATAGATTAAGAATATATAATATTCTGTAACTTATTACTCAAAGATTATATTTTTATTTAAATATAATTATAATATTTATAATAAGAAAATACTGGTTATTATATATATTCTTACAGAATAAAAAGTAGAATTAAAAAATTTATAATAATTAAAAAAATTTATAATTCTCACAGATTACTAAGTTCTAGAATATTTTATAATTATTAAAAAATTTAATATCTAGTAGGCCCACTGGGCAGAGATATTATTTTAATATTATTTTATTATTAAATATTAATTAGAAAAAAATAATATACTAACTAATTATTTTATATAGAAAAAGACTAACTTAGAAATAATTAATAATTATTATTATTAAATACTGCTAAAGCCTAAGTCTCTAAAATTTAATATAATTTTTACTCTAGTACTGATAGCTCCTGTAAAATAAAATCTTTATATTATTAATTATATTTTAAGAGTAAATTATATTTATGTCTTTTTAAAAGATTTTTAAAAATAAATTTATTAATAAGAAACTGACTACTCCCTGTAAAATAGATTATTTTTATATTAAAATAAATTAATAATTTTTAATAAAGATAATTTATAGATTTAATTATTAAATAAAATTTATTAATAACCATCACTAGCTCACCCTGGGTGAATAAAGATAATAATATTAATTAAATAATAATATTTATAGAATACTTAAAACAGAGATATCCAATATTATATAAATAATTATTTAATTTATAAAAGAAAAAATATATATTAAGATTTATTATTTAAATTATTTTAACTCCTTCTAATCCCTGATTAATTATAATAATATATATTTATAAATTTCTGCTTTTTTCTAAAGAACTATTATAAATTTAATATTATTTTTATAATAATAAATTATCTTAATAAGCACACAGTATTTATTTTTTATATAAAATAAATCTTTATATAAAATATAATTTATTTATTTATTAATTAAGTTTATACCTGGACAGGGCCCCCTAATATTATTATTTTTAATTAAAAAAATTAATTTATAGCTGATTTTTAAAATAAACTATACTAAATCTTATAGATTAAATTAAAATTTTTAATAATATATTATCCACAGACTAATAAGTAAATAAAAATCATTAATTAATATATAGTTTAGTAATTTATTCTATTTATTAATTATTTTTAGAATAACTGGTCAGAACTACTACTATTTATTAATTTTATTATTATAATTTTATTTTATAAATTTACCAGATTATCTCTATTCATAGTTAAGAAAAAATATAAATTCTAAATATTATTTAACTAGATCTCTCTAGTAGATTTATTATTATATATTATTATCTAAGATTAAGCCCATGAGTTTACTTATTATATAGAATAAATCTAGATCTTTATATAAGATAAAATCTAGAAAATATAAAATTAATAAATATAATAAATTAATTAATTCCACCACCCTGTTATTTTCAATATTAGTAATAAAATCTTTATTAATATTTATAACTGGAGATAGGGCCAGCTCTTATAAAAATTATTAAAAAATTAATATAATTTTATATCTATTATTAATAAGATTAATAATATATATAAAATTTATTTTTTTAAAAATATATATATTTATTTTATTTTCTATCCCAAGAAGCTCTATCTATATAATATATTTAATTTATTATTAAAACAGATCTAAAACGCTGCTGTACTTATTAAAATTAATAATTAGATAAAATAAAAAATTAAAAATATTTTAACTAGTTATCTATAATATAGTTACTTTTAATATAAAATTAAATAGCTGGTATTTAATATAACTAATCATATTTAATATCCAGCAGGGAATTTCAAGAATATTTTTTTTTATTTTTAAAATTATTATATAAAATATTTTATTTATCCCAGACCCCCCAAGTACTTTCTATAATAATTAATAACTATAGAAACTAATAAATTTATACTAGATTATAAAAAAAATAATTTATCTCTGGCTAAGAACAGCCAGATCTAAATAAAAAAATAATATAATAGTAAATAATATCTCAGGATCATATAACTTCTATTTTATTTATTTTATTTATTTATTTTATATAGTTTATTTATTTTTATATAATTATATATTCTTTCTAAGCTTCTTCCTTTCTTTCCTCATACTAGAAATTTTTGTTAGATAACACCAAATTTGACCATTTGAACGGCTTCCACATAATTAATACTTTAGAGTAATATTATCTTAATATATTAAATAAGTTCAGATATATTCAATTATATTATAATATAATCTATTCTAGTAGAACTTTCTGTATAGTAATACTTCTATTCTTATTTTTCTAAAATATTCTATTAATAGATTATTATAATATAGATAGATAAGCACCTGGTATAATATCTTAAAGAAAGAAATATAATAATAATTTTTAAAATATAGATAATTAGTAGTTCTTATTATCTAATACTTTTAATCTAGTTGTCTTTATTAAACAGCAGCTTTTTATTATTATATCTCTAGATCTTTATTTTATAAATATAAGATTATTTCTTATAACTCAGGATTATTATTTTTTAAATATAAAACTTCTGTAGTATATACTTATATTATTATAGATTAAAAAATAAATATTTTTTTAAATATATTTTTTTAAATAGTCTAGTCAGTTATTTTTATACTAGCTTAATTATTAGAATCCTTTAAACTTAATATAATACAGGTATTGAATCCAGGATAATCCTATATATCTCAAGATTTAAACTAGGATTTTTTTTTAACTAAGTCTTTTATTATTAGGAATAAAATATCTATAAATTACTTTTAAATTAAGATTAATAATTTTTCTTGTAGAGTAGATTCTATTTAAAATCTTAAAGATATTCTAAAAAGTTTATTTATAAGATTTAACTTTCTTATTCTATATTTAATAATAAAATTATAAGAAATTAAATTTATAAGTTATTGAGCTTATCTTTTATTAATTCTAGTTTAATATATAAAAGATTATAAGTTTAAATAGTTAGATAAGACTTTAATAATTTAAAAAATATTTTTAAAATACTATTACCACTGTTTAAAAGAATAAATAATAATAAATAATTTTTAATTTAAAATATTATAGTTTAGTTCAGTACCAGAGAACTTACAAAACTAAAAAGTAACTGGATAAAATATATTTTTATTATTAAATTAAAATAAAATATTATTTATTCCTTCTTTTAATACATCAGTTTCTAGATATCAGGATTTTATAGGATTAAAGTATATTAATAAAGATATTTATTAAAAAATAATAATTAAACAGTAAAAAGCAAGCTATTTATATAAATTTAAACAGATTTTTCCAGGTTTTTAACTATTAACTACTCTGTAAAGTAGGGAGATAAAAAATAAGATAATTTATAAATAATCTTAAATAAATTAATAGTAGAAGTTATAGAATCCTAGAAAGATCTGGATATTATAGTAACTTTTAGAAATTAACTATAAAATAATATTATTTATTTATTAAAAATCTATAGATACTCCATCAGTATTAATAATATATTCTAGAAATTCAACTTGGGATTAGTAAAATAAATATTTAAATAAGTTAATATAAAATTAAACTTCTTGGAGTCTTTCTAGCACTTAATAAATATATTTTATATAAAATTTATTATCAGATAAGAAGATAAAGATATTATTAAAATATATTATATAAAAATTATTAAGAAGTCTATAAAGTACTATATATATATAATTTTAGAATATTATAGGGAATAGGGATATTAGTTAGTCTGAATAATATAATAGTATATTTAAAGTAGCTATATTAGATATAAAATACTATTTTTTAATTATTATCTTTCTTAATATAGATTCAGTAGTAGATATTCTTAATATTAATTTTTAAAAAATATTTATTATTTAAGATTCTATCAAGAATTTCTGAAATAAGAGATAAAGAATAATAATTCTTTATTAAAATCTTATTAAGACTCCTGTAATTTATATAAAGATATAAATTATTATTTTTTTTAAATATAAAAAGAATAAGAGCTTTTATAAGATTTTTAAAAAATTAAATTTAGCTCAGTTTCAGATTCTTTTTAATATATTTTTATAAAATCTTGAGTTCAGCTTCTAATAAAAGATATATAAATCTGTAAGAAAATATTTTATTAAATTAAATATTAATAATATAGTCTACAGGGCTATAAAAAGAAATTATTAAAAAAAATTTATAAAAAATATATCTTAGAACTCTTAGAATTTAATTAAGATTATTTCTAGATTTAGAGATAAATTATAAGATCTTTTTTTTAGTAGCTAAATATCTTCAGGAAGCTTGATAATAATATATATTTTTATTAAATTCTAGACTACTTTATTAAATTAGATAATAAAAAATAAATAAATAATATATTAAATTATTATTATTAATTTTATACTGATAAGTTAATATAAAAATCTTGAAATATAATTATTAATAATAAGATCAGGCTGTTTTCTAAATAAGAATCTTAATTAATTTTTATATAATATTATTTAAAAGTACAGGTGCTCCCCTGCAAATCAGTAATAATAATAAAAATTTTTTATATATTATAAATAAAAATAATAATTTAATTAATAGCTTTAATTCTAGATATAATAACCAGGATATATTAAAGATAATATATCTTAATAAATTAATAATTAATAATATTTATTTTAATATAATTATCTAAGTCTGTAAATATTTCAAGATTATTTTAAATATAAATAAAAATATAAAAATAATAAATAGTTCCTACTTTAGATAAAAAAATTAAAATTATAGAATTTATTTTAATTTCTCTACTTTTCCCTCAGAGTCTGATGAATATTAATAGATTTTAATAGATTAAATCTTCTTGTTTCTAGGAGAATATTAATTTATAAAATACTAGATATTATTATATATAAAATATTATAATTAATTACTATTTTTTTTAATAAGATTTTTCTTATAGTTCAATATATCTTCTTTAATTAATTTATTAGGATGACCTTGAAGATATTTATATAATTTATAATTATTAAATTAGTTATTATTTTATTTATATTTCTGTTTATTACTTTATAATTTATAATAATAGATAATAATAATTATTATTTTATCTTATTTTTCTAGTAGATGGGGAACATATTCTTAAATATAATAATTAAAATTAGATAATAATTTAATAAAATATAATAAAATTTTTTCTTTCTCTGTTTAACAAGGGAAGTATTACTTTAAAATATTAAGATAAATATAAAATTTTTTTAGATTTTAATTATATTACTAGTAAGCTTATTTAAGTTAAGCTATAATATTAGATTAAAAAATAATAATATTCTAGATTAGGATAAAAGTCTAATTTTTAAATTAAAATTATAATTTCTTAAGAAATTATCTTATTTCTAGATTATTATTATTAATAAAATAATATTATCTCTGTTTATATATAGAATCTATATAATTAATAATAATAAATATCTTATACTTCTCAGAGAAATATTTCTTAGAAATTTTTTAAAATATATATTTTAGATTAATAATCTATTCTTAATATTTTTAAAGATTAAAATTTAAAATAAAATAGAAGATATTTTTAAACTTAATCTCTTTTTTATCTTTTTCTAATTTAAAAAAGAATTAATAGTATCTAGAAAAAATCTTATTCAGAGAATTATTTTTCTGGAAATAAGTTATTCTTTTTTATAAATTAATAATCTATTCTAATTAATAAACATGATCTTTTAATTATTAGATTTTCTTAGTAGTAGAAATAGTATTTAATAATAATTCTGGATTAATATAATTACTAAATATCTTTTTTTTTATTATCTTTAAGGAGTGGTATCTTTCTTAAATAATTAAAAAAAAAAAAATCAGAATATAATAAAATTTATTTATTAGAATAGAAAGTTTATTAACTAGATAAGAAATCTACTACAAAATATAATAAATTAATTTAATAAAGATAAAGGTAGTCTATATTTATAAAATAGATTAATCTTTAAAAGATCAGTAATCTCTTACAGAAGAATTAATATTTTTATAAGTATTAATAAGATATAGAACCATTATTAATAATCTTATGATTCTCATAACCATCTTAATACATCATTTCGATGCCCAAGGCTCTGACAGTTGGGTTGTTCTATCACATTTTTTTAATAATCAGTATTAGTAATAACCAGGTCCTATACTGGTAAGAACCAAAAATACGTATGACCTGGCGACCTGGGGACCTAACAACCCAGAACCAGGGTGTGATGGGCTAAGAAGCCGGGAGGACTACGTAAGATACAATAGTTAGTAGAGAAGTTGAATTCATTAGAGAAAGAATTATCTAATTTATAAATAGATTAGTCCTTCTTATAGATAACTCTTCTAGAAATTTTTCTTTATAACTCCAGTAAACTTCTTTACTTATTCTAGAGATTTCTATTCTTCTTATAAATATCTCTGGATCAAGATCCAGAACTAAATAAATTAAAATATAGATATTCTGATTCCAGATAACTAATAAAATCTAATTTTTTTTAATTATTATTCTTCCCACCGTGACGCAGCTGAGTTGATGTAGATTTCTTTAAATAAAATAAATAAATAAAATTATATTAATATTTATAGACTTTAATATTATAAAGCTTAGTTACTAATTCTTATATAAATTTAATATATTTTTTTTATTTAACTAGAAATATTTTTTTATAATTATATTTTTCTTAAAGTATATTTTTCTTATTTATAATCTTTTTAATAATATATTTCTCAGTACTGTTTTCTGTAATAATAATATCCAATTACTAATCAGTTATTTTTTAGATAAGTAAAGGATCTGTAGCAGTAGATTAAAATAAATTAATATAAAATATTAAATAAATTCTAGATAGTATATCTAGTCTGTATATATATATTCTAATCTATTCTAATATTATAAACTTTATATTCTGCTGGTCTAATTTCTTACTAAATTAATTAATTATAATATTTTTTAAATTTAATTAAATCTTATTATTTTCTTTATAGCAGGGAGCAGGATTTTATTATTAATTAATATATTATTCTTATATTTCTTATACTGCTGTTATTATTAAATTAATAATATCTTAGATTTCTTAGAGTTTACTGAGAATAATCTCAGTTTACTCTTAGAGATTCCTGGCTTAATTATATTTTAAAAAATTTATTTTAATATTTAAATCCAAGAACTTTATATAAAAGCTATACTGTAAGAAGAAGAGACTTATTTTTATTAATATAAAATTCTAATTATTTAAAATTAGCTGTATCAGGGATAATAATTCTTATTAATTAATTTATTATTAGTTTATAAAATATTATAAAAAGATTTTAATAACTATAATTTAATGCTTTATTATATTATTTATTTTAAAATAATAAATAATAAAAAAATATTATTTAATATCTAGTATCTTATACAAGATTATCTATAATTTACTTATGAACTAAGAGTTATAATCTGAAATTATTAACTAGAATATTTTATGATAATTATAAAATACTTAAATAAATATATTTATAAAATTTTTTATATCCATGCTCAGGACAGCTTCAATAATAATATTTTTAATTAACTAATTAATAATAATTATAATATTTTTATAATTTTAAGACTCCGGAAGGTCTACCAGAAAATTAATAATAATATTTTATTAAAGTTGATTAGGGATCAGTAGCAATTTTAAAAAATCTTATTTATAATTTTTTTAAATATAATTAATTTTACAGTTATCATAATTATAGTAGAACTGGTAGATATCTTTACTTATATTTAGTTAATAATAATAATAAATAATTATTTTATAAGTCTAGTCCTGTCCGGGATATCCAGTAATTATATTATTATAAATTTTTTAAATAATCTAAGTTTATAAGAATTCTAAATTAAAAATTTAAACTTATTTTTAGAAAAATAGGTATTAACTTACATTCAGCTGGTATTCTATAATAAAAACTTTTAATTTTAATTATTTAAAAAGCTTAGGCCTGTCTTCAGCTACTATTTTATAATATTTTTTTAAATTTTTATTAACCTGTTCTGCTTGCTCCTATAAGTTATCTAATATTAATTTTTTAGATTTTAGATTAACAGAGATTTTTTTATCAGGAGTTTTATTAATAAGTATTATATAAATAAGCTCTTTTTCAGATATAGAATAAAATAACTAGATTTTTTAATTTATAATATATTTATTTTTTTTCTTGAGCATATCCTGGAATTTTTAAGATAAAATATTTAATTAAGTATTTATTATTTCTGGATAATAATTAATTATAAAGTTAAAATAATTCAAGAACTGGACTTAATATATTTATTATTTTATAAGCTATTATTGGATTATAAAGTATTTTAGATTTTAATAATTACTAAAAATTTTAAAATAGAAAAATTTAATAAATTCTGGCTCTTATTCCTGCAGGACTTGAATAATTATTAGTAGTTCTTTATTATAAATCTAGTAATTATACTCTACGGGCAGGTTTTTCTTTAAGAAATATATTATTAAATAGAGAATTTTTTAATTATCTTACTGGAACAGTATTTCTTCTATATATTATCTAGAAAAATTAATTTTTACTAGTATTTCTTATTCAGAGTCCCAATATATAAGAACAAGAACAGTAGTAAAAATCTTTTTAAAAATTTTAAATATTTTTTAGATCTCTGGTATCTAGCTAAACTTGATATTCTTTTTAATAAATTATATTAAAAGTTTTAAATAGGTCTTCCAGTTCTTGAAGAATTATTAATAAAAGTTAATAAATTTTAAAAAGATTTTAATATTACAGATAATCTTTAATATTTTTTAATTTTATATAATCTAGATCTTAACAGAATCTATATAAATCTCTTTCTTTATCTTAATAATAAATCCCAGATATTTTGTAATAATTATCTTAAATTTATATTTATTAATATCTATTTAAAAGCCTGTATTCTATAAATATTTTAATATTTATTATATCTGAATATAGTATATAACCAGGTTTCTATTTATAAAGATAAGAATATTATTAATATAAATAAAGTAAAATTTATTAAGAAATTCTTGTAAGATCTAGTTAATATATTATTAAAATATATTTAAATAATTAATAAGCCTGAATAAGACTACTAATTATTTAAATAATTTAAAATAAATATAAAATACAGTTTTTTATTTATCTTCTTCTTTAATCCGGATACAGTAAAAGACCTGGATAATATCTAGTTTAATATAATAGTAAATCTTTAAAATATATTAAAAGGTTTCTTGAATAAGTAGTAAGAAATATTAGTTTTTTATAATTATTTAATTAAGTACTTAGTAATCTATATAGAAATATAGATTATTACTAGGTTTTAAAGTAAATAGCACAGGCGCAGCTGCTGGAAAATTATTAATTTTTATAAATTTTTTTTTTAAGAAATTAATTAAAGTCTTTTATAATATTAAGAGTTCTAGTTAATTTATCTAGTAAAGAGAATTCTAAGAGATTTTTTTTTTTTTTTTTTTAATATTTTTGATTATCTTGATAGCATGGTTCATTTTTAGATAATAAAATAATAAAATATTTATTATTATTTTATTAAAAATATCTAAGTACTTATAGTAGAAATCTAGTAGCTTACTTTCTATTTTTATAGAATTTTTTAACTAGTTAAATTTATAAAAGACTTTATTAATATCTACCAGGCTTATTATAAATAATTTTATTAAATTTTTTTTTTTTTTTTAATTCTTCTAAGTGTACCACGCGTTGGTAAAGATTATAAATAATATTAAAAAATAATTTTATTTTTACTTATATTATATTTCTACTTCTGTGCTCTAGATATTAAATATAAAATTTTTAATTTAAAATATTATATTCTAATATTTTATCCATGGAAGTCTTAATATAATATTATATTTATATATATATAATAGAATATAGAGATATATATACTTTTATAAATTTTTATCTATATTTAATAATATTTTTATTAATTCAGTTATACAGGCTTCTTTCTTCTTGAATTCTTTAATATTTCAGGATTTGATAGAAATATACTCTAGTTTATTTTTATTTATAAAATTCTGGCTGATTATCCTGTAAAATATATAGTTAATATTAATTAAAGTATTTATAAAATAAATTTTATTAACTAATTCTAATGTAGAAAAGATATAATAATTTTTAAATTTTTAAATCTCTTTCTTAAATTCTTTATAATTATAATTAACTAATATATATTCTTCTAGATAATAATCTAGAGAAGCTATATTTTTTCCAGGACTGGAATTTATTAAATAATTAAGCTTTTTAATATTTAGCTGGCTTTACTAACTAGATTATCTTTAAATAAAGTTTAATAGATTTTACTCTTTAAGTCTTAAAAATATTATAATAGTAGATAAAAGTATCTAATAATATAATATTTTAAAAATCTATAATATAAGCAGAATCCTGTCTCGCGGTATTTAACTAATATTTTTTTTAATATTTATTAAACTTATTAAGCAGGTCCTGTACTTGCTGTTATAAATTTTTAATTTATAATATTATTTATAATTACTTTCTTAAGAGCGCTACTTATTTAGATATTAAAATATTTTAATTATTTTCTTAAAAATTAGTTTATTTTTATAAGTTTATTAGTTACCTGTTTAATTTATTAATAAAAATTTTTAAAATCTAATTTTTATTTAATATTTATTATTTATTAGCAGATGTTGTTATTCAGGACTTAATATAAAAGATTTTTTTTATTTAAGTTTTTTTAGTTATATTCTCCGGCCTTGATTAGCAGGCTATTAATTTTTATTAAAAAATTATTAATTATTTAATTTTCTTATTTAAAAATAGACAGCTTGCTGATAACTTTTTTTTATTAAATTAAATTCTTATAAATTAATTTAAAATAATTAATTAAAACTGTAGCTGAGAAGAATAAAGTCTTATAATTAATTTTTATTTATAAATTAATTTTTACTTTAATCTTTCTGTCTAAAAATATAAATATATACTAGATTTATTTAGTTAGTATATTAATAAATTATTAGTTAATCTTGATTTTTATTTATATACTATTAAGCCAACTCAGGAATTTATTTTTATTTTTTTTATTAAAGCTTACAGGTGTTGGTAACTTTAATTTTTTTATATTAATTAAATCTTAAGCTAGTATTAATATTGATATTAATATTAATATAGATAAAAATACTATAATAAATACCTGAGAAGATAGAAGTTAGATATTAATAAATTACTTAATTTATTTAAGACTAGCTCTAATCTTATTATCTATTATTATACTTTATTAGAAAATAATATATTATATTTTTATACTCTAGATTATTAGTTCTTTAATATATTTAATTAACTAGTTAATAATATCAGCTTGGGTAGTACCTCTATAATAACTAAAAATATTTATTAATTTATTATAATTATTATATATTACCAGTCTGTTATCTGATAGATACTTTAAAAAAAAATAAATTTAAAATTATAATAAACTAAGAAGCCGGAAGGACTATATAAAATATAATAATTAATAAAAAAATTAAATTTATTAAAGAAAAAATTATTTAATTTATAAATAGATTAGTTCTTCTTATAGATAACTCTTCTAAAAGTTTTTCTTTATAACTCTGATAAACTTCTTTATTTACTTTAGAGATTTCTATTTTTTTTATAGATATTTCCAGGTCAAGATCTAGAACCAAATAGATTAGAACATAGATGTTCCGATTCCAGATGGCTGACAGGGCCTAGCCCTTTTCACAGGGCATGGACAACTAGAAGTAGGGATGGTGTAATTTCGAAATTGGCCAACCCATTTCGAAATGGTTTCAAAATATCGATTTCAATTTCAGTTTTGATCTGCATATTCCTTTCCTTATTAAGTTAGATTTGCCTAATAAAGCTGGTGTGGATTTCAATTTCAAAAATCTCACTTCAATTTCAGCCAAAATTTGTGAAATTTCATACACTTGAAATTTCACTAACCATCCCTAACTAGAAGGCTCCATGCAAACCGAGCAAACTAGTGACCGTTGGCAAGGTGTCAACTTCCCTCCTCCATCCCTCGTTGCTTCATTGCAGAGGGTCTGGTGTTTCCCTGGGGTCCATCTCGGGTCAAGTTAATAGGCAAGACTTGCGGCCTGGAACTTACCGCCACCTTTTGGACCCACTTTTAAGACGATGGATGCCCTTCAGTGGAGGATGATTTCCCTTTTATCTGTGCCTTTCTGCCCACCCAAAGCGCTTCCCAAAGCGCTTCCCGCTTTGGGTGGGCAGAAAGGCACAATTACCCGCTTTAACTTCCAGATCTAGCCGTTGATTTGACAATATGGAACTCCAGGGAATCACGACGTAATGGACTGGCTTACTATATGGATTTTGGAACCTTGTGGAGTTGAGCCCTATCAAGTGCGTTCTTCTCCCAGGCCCTTCTTTACAAAGAGATAAGAAAATAGAGGGAGGAAGGGAATGCACATGATTGACACCTACTATGTGCAATATCATTTGAAGGAAACCTGTTCTAATGCGTGTCCCAAGGCAAGTATATTATCTCTGGCGACTGAACAGATGGGTCAAGCTTGGAGGAATCTATATTTTTCCTTGACATTTAGTAGATATTAGAAAATAGGCACAATTACAACGTCAGTGGTCAAAGCCCGGGTGCAGTACTGTAAACAAAAAATGCCGTTTTTGATGATTTAGCAGTCTAGAGTGATTTCCCATTATTGGACTGCAAGCTAATTTGGTCGATGTTAAAGCACAAAACTCGACCATTTTCAAATCCAATAGTCAATTGATCGCCTTGTGCATCAGCACATGATGGGGTAAAATCTGATGGTATCCGAACGAGAGGCATGTCCACATAGCATATCCACTGATTTCTGACATAGATATCCTGTACTGACTCAAAGGTAGTCGTCTGCCTATCCGCGGGGTTTACGAGCTTGATTGTACCAATGTTGGTTGTCAGATATCGGCTGTCTCCTGAGAATTTGATGGTGCGTATCCATTCTGATGTCTTGATTTCCTGCCATGAACGGAACTTCAAGCGACTGGCAAAAGTTTGCCCAAGGTGTTTTGAGGCTTTCAGGGATTTGGCAATGTCCCAAAGCTTGACGGTCTTGTCGTCCGAGCCAGAGGCAATCTGCTTCCCGTCCGGAGAGAAGGCCACGGTAGTGACCGAGCCGGAGTGGCCAGCGAGTGTCTTCTGACACTCACCCGTCGTGGCATCCCAAAGCTTGACGGTCTGATCCCACGAGCCAGAGGCGATCTGCTTTCCACCCGGAGAGAAGGCCACGGCGGTGACATAGTGGGAGTGGCCAGCCAGTGTCTTCTGACACTCACCCATCGTGGCATCCCAAAGCTTGACGGTCAGATCCCGCGAGCCAGAGGCGATCTACAACTGAGTCGCAAGTCATCGACCGTCAGAAACGACCCTGAGACCTCGGTCAGTAAGTTTGTCCGGTCCCCAAGCCCCGGCCTACCCCTTCGCTACTTCAATGGTATTGAGATGGTAACAACGCCGCTGCAATACTTTGTTTGGAAAGCTCATGATCAAAGCAACTCATCCAATTACAAGGAATCGTTCGAAAGAGGAAACAATTTGAGGACACGGGCTGAGGGAGAGAGACGACAAACCGAAGCGCAAAACAGGTAGTTTACTCGAAAGACTTTCCTGATAAAACATCTTCAAGCCTCCTCTAACTTACTCTCCCACCCGTTGCGTGTGGGGAGAACCCCGTCTTGTTCTCACGAAACGGAAAGATCCCAGCTCCTAAGGGAATTCTTGCCGCGCTCTCCTTCTTTCATGAAATGATTGTGCAGCTGTGCAGCAGGAAATATACGATTCAATTTGCAGCTACCTCCAAGCAACGAATGAACATTCTCCCCTATTTCCGGACAGTTGCGCGCCTTGAACGCCTCGTCGACTCAATAGATCATCCGCTGAACAGCGAACGGGACCTTGAAACGTATGAAAGACTTGCAAGGAAAGAGGAACTATCAGATAACTAGTTAGATGGATCGAGTCATGATCATGATTGATGACAAATCACTGGCTCCGTAGACTTCATCTCAAGCAGCACCCGCATTCTGTAATGTGTACATAGCTCTGTGTGGAATTTTGCTCGAAACATGAGGCTGGATAGGGGCTTGGAATGATGGTTACGGATTCTCACAAGAAAGACATTCAAGGGAGGGAATAGACGCGACTTGGAATCACACAAACATGGCCTCGACGTGATATAGTCACACAGGAGAATTGATTTTCCGGCTCCGTATTCATCCCCGCATCAACCTGAAGGAGTGCCGACGGTGCATCCGCAACGTCCGGTGCACGAGCCTTTACTCGCCTGCAAGACGCCCATCTGAGGAATATAAGACCTAGCAACATGAGTCAAGCACCCCAGTTAATACGGGCGAAACCGATAGCGTTCGTCCTGAGTCGTCACCGTCACAGTCATTGTATCGCTGAACCTTGCCAGCTGTCGAAAATGCCACACCAGAAAAGTTAGATGCTCAGGTGGCCAACCTTGTCGGAATTGCGTTCAGTTGGAATGTGTAGACGATTGCACGTATCCAAAACGTGATCGGCAGATCAAAGTGAACCAGAGGTTGGGTTTCCTCTACTATCATTCCAAGCTTACACTAATCAGGCCACTAGTTATGTCGAAGGTTTATTGCGTGAGATTGAGCAATTGAAAGCTCGTGATCACCGAGTCTCTGAACAGGCTGCTGAAATAAACAACTCCGTGATCGACTTTGATCAACCTCTTGACGCTATCGATGAAGCTTCCCAGCCGTCCCAGAACCCTCTCCTGGATGAACAACCATGGTTTCTGCCTGTTCATTCCTCCAAGGTCCCTATTCTAATAGGAGAAGTTGCCGATGCTGTGTTTGCAACCCGTCTTCGCCAACTCATCACAGGCAAGACTCTGAGCCATATCCCCCGTGTCACATATCCGGGCCATGACCAGATTTTAGAGCTTGCGAAGACCGAAATTCCCCAACCTCAACCCTCCCGTGCTCGATTTCTCCTCCGAGTCGCTTTAGAATATTTGGAGGGATCGTTCCATATTGTTCGCAAAAGCCTTGTTTGTGCTCTGTTAGAGAAATATCTCCATGCACCCCAATCACTCGATTCACTTTCGACCTGCAAAATCTTTGCACTTCTTGCCCTAGGGGAGCTTCACTCGAACCGTTTCCAGAATCAGGAAGCCCAAATAGCTGGCCTTGCGTACTGCAGTCATGCCAGTCGGGCTCATGGGCTGCTCGAAGAACGACCTTCTTTGGACTCAATTGAGGTTTCATTGATCTTGGTGAGCCGTCTATTTCGCAGCCTCAAGGTAGCGCCTCTAACAATTATAAAGTGCCTATACGCTCTTTGTATCAATAGACGTCATTCAGCATACTTCTTAGCAAGCTCAGCCATTCGCCGTGCTGTTGTTATGGGGCTGCATTTCGACTTTCCCAATCCTCATTTGAATGACCCTGAGCTGAAAGAGCATATCAAACGTCTGTGGTGGACATCATATGTGCTGGATCATTTATGTGCATCTATCAGCAGCCAACTGGTGTCTATTTCAGACAATGACATCTTTGTCGATCTCTCATTTACCCCAGACGTAGCACATGAACGACAGAGTGATTTCGCACATACGGAGTGGTTTTTGGCAAGGGTGCACCTGGCAAGAATTACAAGAAAAACAGTAGAGTCCGTCTACGATCGCAGGCAAAAAAAGGAGTCATTCTTGCAACGGGTGCAATATGCCCTTCGGGACCTCAAGCAATGGTTAAATGATCTACCAAGGGACATCCAGATGGGTACACAACCGTCACATTTGAAACCACGACCAATTCAGTCTCTCCACCTCACTTTCAATCAGGTATTTCCATCTCATCTCCCGGAGTTGTGGCCCGTCTGACCGATGCAGTCTGTTATTCTTGCGACACGGCCCGTTTTGCTTCACAAACTCCGAATGCACAAAGACTCAAATCGGGAAACTCCCACTGAAACGGATCAAATCGTTTCAAGCAACGTTCAAAGTCTAGCAGAAGCCTGCATCAGGTGTGCTCGGCACTCCTATTCTACCATTGTCGAATCTTGGATTGAAGGGAATTTCGGAACCTTTGACTACTTTAACACCCGGAATCTCTTTTCCGCAGCTACAGTTCTGGCTATTTCTTGTCTTCTCGGTGGTCCTGGTGGCGCTAAGGACTATGAGGATTTTGAGTTCGCCGGTGAACTCCTTGAAAAGCTACGTGACTCGGGGAGTTTTACTGCCATGGAATTCTGTCGACATGTTGAAGAGCTGAACGCAGATATTCGCTCATTCTGGTCTGGCTTACCAGGTACAGAAGCGCAAAGCTTCCAACACGATATCACAAGCGCCACCACCTACCCGACTCAAGAAGAGCATTTCCTGCAGCCACGATATTTGATGACATCAGACATGGCATTAGCAGAACCTTCAATTGAGGCATTTCTCCAAAGTGAACAAAGTTTGACTCAGCTGAATGCGTTTTGGGATCATACTGGACAGGAAGGGCTGTACTGGCCCACAGGTGATATTTTTTGATGGACCTAAATTCGCCATTTGTGACAGATCAATGAGCAAAATAACTGGCTTGAGTTTCACGAGTGTGAAATCTTTGATTGGACTCTGTACAATACGTTCGAGTATCTTATTGCCTCACCCAATCTTGTAATGTACCCCTTATGGCAGCATAAGGTAGGTTCGTTGTCGGGCACGTGGAATTTCATTGGTCGACCCGGGACGGAGACAAAACAGCCAATCACGGCGTAGGTGAGCTGATCCCGAGACCATCGTTGATGGGTCCGGAATAGAATTGTGGAACCCGCTGATGCAGGCTGATCTTGCACGTGTGGGTTCGTCTGGAACGAAGGTGCCGCCCGGGCCGTATATAGCAGGGACAGACAACAAGGTGATTGATAATGGTATGAACTAGTATGATATCAAGCGAATCGAAGTGGTGTTTTCCGATGAACCAAAATTTTCACAGTCTCTAGTGGGTCTTTGTAATATCAAGATTCCCCTTCTGCTTGCCAGCGAGGCTTGGCAAGTTGAATGCCGCCCGGGACCCTAACTGGGAGGCCGAAGCGGTGGAGAGGAGCGAATTGAGGTGGAGAGTGATAGAACATAACTGATCTGAATACTAAAGAGAGATATTGATATTTAGCCGACCCAGTTCACAAGGGCAGTATAAAACAACGATATCTCTGGCACAGGTAAGTGGATGAAGCAAAGGCCTCCTCAATGCGGATTTCTCGACTAGTCAAAATGCAGTACTCATATCACCACAATACGGAACGCTTGTCATCACAGGCGGAGGCCACTGCCGCTGTCTGTATGCGGAATCTTTCCAATTGGATGCCCGCTGTTGACGAAATCCGCACCTGGCCAGAATACACCATACAGCCCCTGCGCGCTCTCCCTAACCTTGCGCACAAACTGGGAGTCCGGGAAATCTTTGTCAAAGACGAAAGCAAACGTTTTGGAACAGGGATGGGTTCTTTTAAGGCGCTGGGTGCACCTTATTCAGTGTATAGGATCCTGGCAGAGGAAGTACATGCGAAAAAGGGTGTCTGGCCTTCGGCAGCCGAGCTTCGCACCGACAAATACCGCGATATCACAAATTCTGTCACCGTTTGCGTTGCAACGGACGGTAATCAAGGTCGTGGGTTAGCATATGGTGCTAAGACTTTCGGCTGTCACTGCGTTGACTACATTCACAACCATGTCAGCGACGGTCGTGCCAAGCGTATGATGGACTTGGGTGCAATTGTAATTCGAATCAACGGGGAATACGAGACTTCAGTCGCTCGAGCTAAAGAGGATGCTCGCATGAATGGCTGGTACTTTGTCAGCAGCACTTCGTGGTCGGACTTCGACAACGACGTACCTCAGCACGTCATGAACGCCTACATGGTTGTCCTCGAAGAGGCGATTGCACTGATCCCTCAACTTGATCGCATCTCTCATGTTTTTGTGTGCGGTGGTGTTGGTAGTATTGCGGCTGCTATTTTTCAAGGCTTCTACACCCATCTTCGTGGTGACAAGAACACACCTGCTCAACTGCCACGCTTTGTCGTTGTTGAGCCGTTGGAGGCAGATTGTCTCCTGCAGAGTGCGAAGAATGGCACGGCTTATCAGTCCAAAGGCACGCTTTGTACGCTGATGGCCGGTCTGGCTTGTCGTGCACCATCTCCAGCCGCGTGGAAACTCCTCAACTGGTTGGCTAGTGACTTCCTCGCGGTTCCTGATTCCATTGCAGTGGAGGGTATGAAGGCGTTGGCTAATGGTGATGAGGGTGATATTCCCGTCGTCTGTGGTGAGTCGTCAGCTGCCAGTATGGGTGTGCTGCTGGAATCAGTCTCAAATTCGAGCCTTCGTGAAAGTCTGGGCCTAGACGAGAACAGTCAAGTCATCATCTTCGGCTTGGAGGGCGCAACCGACCCCGATATATACGAGTCTCTCGTGGGCAAATCACCCACTACCGTTTTTGAGGCCCAGGATCGTTTCCATGCTAAGGCTTGCACTGACTTATCCTGATTAATATCCTTTATTTACGCTCAGCCATAAATTTAATTAGAATTGAAAAAAATGAATCTAAGACACTATTATGACTTGATTTTGTGAGCAAGAATATCCGTCAACCCCTTTCAGCAGTTGACGTAGAATATTTTCGAGTGCGTAAATTACTCAGACAAAGTCTACTCCATCTTCAAAGGAGCTTCTAAGCTATCTCTTGGTAACATTCATATTGACATGAATGGTCTTCGACTGGAGGTAGTTCTTGATGCCCTCAAGCCCTAGTTCGCGACCGTATCCACTTTGCTTCCAACCACCAAAGGGGGTATGTTGACTCGTAGCAAATGCACCGTTGATGCCAACAGCTCCGGCCTGGACTTTTCCCGCTACACGAAGTGCCTGGCCAATATCCGACGTGTAAATGCTCGCTAAGAATGGTTAGCCGGGGCCACAGTGACAGGAAGATGGTGCCTACAACCCAAACCATATGGTGTATCATTTGCGAGCTCGATAGCCTCTTCCTCAGTTCTGAATGTTTTGAGGACAATGACTGGACCAAATATTTCTTCTTTCCAGAGTTTACTGTTCCGGTCGGGTCCAAGTAGCACAGTTGGTTGGACAAACAACCCTTTAGTCCCCTGCTGTTCACCCCCGACAAGCGCCTCGAGGCCTTCTTGTTCGCCATGATGAAGGAGTTCCATGACATGGTTGAAGTGTAGTTGGTCTGCCAATGGACCGAAATCGGTTCCAAGAAGCTGTGGATCTCCCATTCTCTGGGCTGCCTCTTCAAATGCCGTCCGAAGCTTCTTCATAAATTTAACGGCAATATTTGCGTGCACTAAAACCCGGGATGAGGCGAAGCAAATCTGTCCCGAGTTTCGAAGAAAGCCGTCGCAGCAATGGATAACTGCGTTTGGAACATCGGCATCGTCGAACACCAACGCAGGTGATTTCCCTCCGAGCTCCAGTGTGACCTTTTTGAGGTTGGAGTTGGCCGCCGCGATCTGAACCGCACGCCCGGCAGCAGTTGATCCAGTGAAGGCAATTTTGGAAATCTCCATGTGACTGGAAAGTAGCGCTCCGATTTTTCCATCTCCTGTAAGAATATTAATCACACCTGCAGGGAAGCCCGCACGCTGGATTAAAGCCCCGTACTGTGCGAGAGAGATCGGCGACTTCTCGCTCGATTTAAGGACAAAGGTGTTTCCAGCAGCCATGGCAGGTGCAATCTTCCATGCCGACAGGATATGGGAAGCATTCCACGCGCAAATCCCGGCACAGACTCCCAGTGGCTCATATTGGACGATCTTGTATGTCCCATCGCCTTCCGGTGAGTATGCTTCGCCAGCAACTTTCCCTGCATAACCAGCATAATACCTCCACACTCCAGCTGAGGCAAGAATCATTCTCTTCGCTATCGAAATGGGCTGCCCCATGGCGATAGCTTCAAGGCGAGCGAGATTTTCTGCGTCTGCCTCAAGAAGTTCCGCAAATTTGACCATTGCGTTTCCTCGAACTGTGGCGGGGGTTTCTTTCCAGGAAGGAAAGGCATCTTTAGCAGCTCGGACTGCTCGCTCCACATCGGCCTCGCTAGCAACATGCATGTCTTCCACCGCCACGGAGTTATCGTATGGGTTCAAAATTCTCATTGTTGCTCCTGTACTCGACGGCGCATACTGCATTCGGTAAGTGAGTGTAAATGAACAACCAGTGGGGTTTCCTACCTGTCCATCAATAAAAAGCTCCTTGTGAAATGACATTTTGGGAGATTTCGATTTCGAAGATCAAGATTCCTGAGATATTTCGTATTTTAGAGTGTCAAAGCAAATGAACCAAGAGTTAGCTGAATGGGGCTTAATAAAGTGGACTGTCGCACACCTCACTGCACCATTGCGGAAAGGACCGGGATATCATATAGTGGACCATGACAATGGTTCCACATTGATCAAAGCCCAAGTCTGAGTGGGGTTGGAAAGTCTCGACAATTCGGGATTCCGCAGGTAAGGATTCAATAAAAAAAGGCGATTCAAACGAAAGGTTAAACATTCGGGGTCCCAATCTGGAATCTTTTCAAAGTGGCAAAGATGCCAGCACTTGAGTGATTAGTGGCTTATCTGGCAAGGCTCGCAGATGAAGTACCGTTTTCGCCCAGTACGGCGATCGAGATAAGCCACTGGAATAACGCTGGCTGGGGCAAGGAACTGGTGTCCGAGCCAGCCAATCGGGAATTATCTTTCTTTCGATGTCTCTTCGGCGAGCTCCCAACTAACCTTTTAGATGCCGTTTAGCGACAAATGCGGCCTAATGCCAAATCCCGAGTGGCAGACTGGGAATAGTCCGGGTCGGCCAATGAGCAGTTATCTCCCGGTTGTTTCGAACGCTTTCTCCTTCTGTGGCTGGAAATTGTATTTTACTAATTATAGAAGATTACTTTGTCTCTCTGATTCTGTGTTCTGGGGTTTTGAATCTTATTGCTTCAGTTTCCTTCAATCCGTGGTCTCCTCAAGCCTTGATTGACTCACAGGAAGAGCCTGCCTACTGGAAAATAAAATGTTGAAAATCAACAGTCTTATAGATTGTTTTAACGTATTTTACCTTTGTGTTATCGCAAAGCTCCCTGCATAGCTGGAATGAAGGAAGTGAACCATGTCAGGCCTACAATGCCTCAAGCTTCCGTTCACACAATGAGCGGAAGGGAAAAAGAGATAGCTCGGTTTATTTGCGATTGATTATGGCAACAGAGAAGCCCTCTGAGTTGAATTGATCTAAATTCCGGTGGTATTCGTATAGCTATACAATTTTTTGTCGTTCAACAGCCCTAAAGGCGCCCCGTGACGCGACCGGTATCTCGCCGCTCTTGTTCCAAAATCATCCCACGTCTGCCACCGCGTGTTCCATCGTCCGTCCCCTGAAAAGTACTTGGAGCATTGGGCTTCCATCGCCACAGATCTTGCAACTCCGAATCAAGATGTCCTTCAATGGCATCTGCAATCTTCTCTCCGATGATTGGGAAAACCTTGAACCCATGGCCACTATCCCCGGTTGCGACGAAGAGGCCACTTGCATGAGGGAGATAGTCGATTAGGAAGTCCCCAGTCGGTCTGTGAAGTGATCAGATTTCGAAGCTGCAAAACAAGCCATGTGCGAAGGGATTCTTACGTGTCGCAGTACCAGCACACTCGCGTCTTGGAGAAGCTACGACCCTTCCAGCTCGGGAACATCTCGACGAGGAAGTCTTTGCAAGCCTTCTCTGCTTCCGCGGGGATTGGCAGATCAGTGCGCGGGACGCTCACGGTGGTTTCGGTCGATGCATTCGGCGCATCTAGCGTGGGTCGTGGAATCATCATCTTTGTTGGGTTCTGATATCCGTATCCATGGCGGCCCATTTTCATTTCATTATCATGGGGAGGAAGCATGAACATCCCTCGGCTGACATTAAAGTAGATCGGACTCTCATCCAGGGCTTTTTGCTCGGAGGAGCTAATGGGCATATATGCTAGAACCTGGCCTGTAGCAGCGGCACGCCCTTCGACATCGACCAGCGAAGGGGTCCACGCGCCCGCTGCGACAATCACCAGGTCTGCATACATGCGAGAACCATCCAGCAGCTCCACGCCGGTGCAATGAATACCGCCACCCAGATGTTTGGCCTTTGTCTGGTAAAGAAGTCTCTTCACTCGGGCATTTGTTCGAACTTTGACCCGATCTCCTCCCAGGTACTGAGCCTTCTCCAGCGCGTATTTGACGCAGGCCTCAGCGTTGACCCAGCCGCACTGATTATTGACATAACCAAAATCTCCACTTGACCCGGGAGCAAGGGTTTCTCTGGCAACCGCATCTCGGTCGGGAAGCTCTTTGAGGTCCTGCAGCTTGAAGGAGTATTGCCCAGATCGTGCAAGCTCTTTCAAGTTCTCCAGACTTTCCTCCAGATACCCGTCCACATGCCCTTCAGTCCCAGGCTGTGCGGTCAGGATGAGTTTGGCCTCGTGGTATCTTCCTTGGCCACCCCACCCATTCGGCGACACGTCCTGCCATTTTTCCCGAGCTTCTGAGACAAGCCGAGTGTACGACTTGATTGCATAGTCGGCGCGCAGAATACGACTAGTGTCCACCGACGCGCCTTGCCCATTTAGCACCTCCGCGGCAGCATCTAGGAGGGTGATGGAAGAGTTGGCATAGTGAGGACGCTGGACAAGGGCGCAGGCTGTGCTTAGCCCCATAACACCACCTCCAATGATGAGGATCTCAGAAGGCAACGAAGTCGACATTATGAGCCTGAGACAAAATGGTGATCAAAAAAGTAATACAATATCGTTCCTATCGTTGCCATTCCTGGCAGCATCGGGACTCATATACGAGGGCCTCAATGCTGCCAATCGATATGGTGTGGCCGACGCTTTGCGATTTCGGTTCGATGCCTCGCTAAAACAGAGCTTAAACCAATGGGAATCGAGGGCCCGATAGCGGCCGTTATCAGCGGTGGGCATTAAGCTGCGCGCCCTTCGTGCTGCATTGGTGTTTCTGTGGATTGGCGATGGGTGGGTCGGAGCGAGACCCACCACCCCCTGGAGATTCGAGGCTTTCGGAAAGATCCAGAGAACAGACAATGTTTCGCACCCCAGTCCTCTAGCTCCACGGTCAGAGATCGTCGCTTCCGCGTGGCGTCGGAGTCGTTGGCGCTTCGCCACCCAGCCGAACGCCCTCTTGGCTCGTCGCCTTGCTGCAATGGTCACTCCCGGGTGAACTTTGAAGGATTCACTGCCTATCAATGAATACAGTCATCTGGCAGATCATGCCACTGTTGAGTATTCACTCACAGTCGTATCTCGGCGGAACAACCATCTTTTTCAAATTTATCTTTATGTAGCGAAGATTTCTATCCTATGGTGACGCTGCAAAATGGGAGCACCCACGACAGCGATTTGATTATAGGTTCAAGGCCAATCAAAGAATGCCCGAGATGCTTTCGAATAATTTCACTTGCCTTCTCCGTGTTGCTGATCATGGATCGGGTAACACAGGATTCAGCCGGAGGTTGCATGAATGCCATGTTTGAGCGAGCAGTATCTTGATTGCCATGAGGCATTTTCCGTGATCGTAATAATGGGCCACGGGAGTAGTAGTAAATATTGTGAATGGCCCATATGGACATAGGTGGAGTCCTCTACCCCAGGCCAAGGAATAATCATAGGTTCTATTCAACAGCTTCCGCACTGGCCAATGGTAGCTTCAGTCTCTGACGGAGTGGCATCAGCAAATGACACATGGGGCGAAAGCGAAAGGCTGCCCCGCTGCTGAGATATGGTGTTTCGGAGTCCAAATCGGTGACATCTAGCTTTGTATGATTATCTAGGTTCCCTTAGCCTCGGGCTAGAGCGGGGATCCCCCGCTTGTCCAGGCCAGGTTGACTGACCATTATCGCCCTTCTGCATGCTAATCGATCCATAGACTATGTATGATATGATTATTGAGCACCCCGTTGCTGGTTATCATCAAGAAATCGCGATGTAGCCAATAAAAAGCTACGCAGATGTGACTCCACAACCAGTCCAGCATCGTCTATTTAAAGGCAGTCGGCTCTCGGTAGATAGAGACATCAATCAACCAGTTCATCACTCTTATCTGTTCTACTTCTCTTCTCAAGAAATTCTCTAATTTCAACCTCTTCTCTATTCATCATGTCTGTCGAGACTTTCTTCAACAAGGATGGTGTCCACCGTATGTTATCCAATTTTATCCATTGTCTGCGCTCGGAATTCGAATTTGCTAACAATCCCATAGCCATTGGCCCTTACGTGAGCTCATATTACCCTACAATGATAGGAATTTTCTTTCTTAGATCAACTCCTAACTTTGAATGCCTTTCAGTCCCAAGTTACCCGTGGCGGAGGATTCGTCTTCCTGGCCGGCCAGGTCCCTACCGACAGTGCTGCTAAGCCCGTTGGAAACAACACCACCGAGAAGGCCCGTCGTATGTGCCAGAACGCCAAGCTTATGCTCGAGACCGCTGGCAGCAGCCTCGAGAAAGTTCTGAAAATCACCGTGAGTGGAATGTGCCAATCCGTCATCAAAAATAAAAGTTAATGATGAAATTCAGATCTACTTCTCCGATATCGATCGTGATTTCGACGCTGTTAACAAGGTTTTCGGCGAGTTCTTTACCTCGAAGCCGGCTCGTACCTCTGTTCAGGTTGCGCGACTCCCTCTCAACCTTGAATTCGAGATGGATGTCACTGCTTTGGCTTAAAGTCCAAAACTAAGCACAGAGCTGTGCTTGAGCGGCCTAGGCAATTTGAGAATTCTTAGAAGTCTGACAGCTCGTGAGCCTCGAATGTACATAGGGATCGCCTGAATAATGTGACTTTCCTTTATAGCCTTCATCTTCCCGCTTGCATTAGCAGAATCCTCCATCGTAGATGGGACAAGTGTCTACTAGTAGAGTGCAGGTGGTAGCATGTCCCGCAAGGAAATATAGAGTTGGCATCTACCAAGATATTCGATCTTAATGGCTTTATCTCAATCTGGAAGGTATGAGCCTTCAGCTATCTATATTTCTGACACAAAAATATTCTAAGTGGCTGGTATAACAGAAACCAGTCATTCTGAGGTAAGAGGCAGATTATGCGTTGAGAAAGCTTCTCAGAACAACAGAGTTTTGGAAGTTCGTAGTCCATAGAAATTCCTCCAAGCCGTGCTGCGAAGGGGCTAATATCGCAATGCTCCGTGGGGATGATTAGCGTATGCCAAGACCGTGATCTGATTACGGCGCAGGAAAGCCTCGTCTCGGCCTTGGGCCATTTTGTCGAGACTGGCGCCCACCAGCAGGGAGTCATGACATAGCGCCAAATATTTTAGGCGAAAGATAAGATCATTTTGCATTCAATGCAAAGAGACATTATTTAGGTGAATTACTGAAAACGTACGAGAACGGAAGCCAGAAAGTCAACACAATATGATTTAGCAAATTCTACCAAGGAGCCCCGTTTCCGTCAACAATTATATACATTGTCGGCGCACTAACCGCTAGACCAAAAACGATATATCGCGTCTAGTCAGACTAGCGACGGAGAGAATTACTGTCCCAACATACATTCATTCAGTGACAGGCATGGCACTCATGTCATGACACGACTACTTTGCTTTGGAACAGGAATATAAATCGAAGACAAGTACAGACGTAGAGAATAAGAGTAGACATATCATTCTCCTAGACCTGAAGTGCCCACTCCGCGATTCCTTTTGCATGGAGAGAGGTAGTCTCAAAGGCTGGCACTCTCATCTCATCGATATTGTAAACAAGCCTGAGCTCAGTGCAGGCCAGTGCAATGCAATCTACTTGGTGCTCCTCCACCAAGTTGATATAAGCTGCTTCAAATTGAGCTTTCACTTCTTCCTCAATTGGCTGTTTGCTCAAATCATTGAAAATATACCCATCAACTTTATCGCGAAACTCCTTGCGGGGCACAACCACCTCCAGTCCATATCGCTTCTCGAGTCGTGATTTGTAGAAGTCCTCCTCCATGACAGCTCGAGTTGCGATTAACCCGACTTTTCGAAATCCATGGTCAACGATTGCTCGCCCGGTAAAATCAACGATGTGTAAGACTGGCAGGCCGGTTCGGTCCTCGAGAGCGTCCACAGCTTTATGGGCAACATTTGCACACAACACCAAAGATTGTGCCCCGCCGTTTTGCAACTGCTGACCGGCATCGGAGAGTATCTTTATCATACCATTGAAGTCTCCGCTGGTGACATAATGGCCAATGTCGGCGTAGTCTACAGAGTTGATGAGCAGACTGGCAGAGTGAATGCCGCCGAGGACAGAACGGACATGGCTGTTGATTGCTTCGTAGTATACCGCTGTGGTCTGCCAAGACATCCCACCGATTAAGCCGACTGTTTTTGTCATTTCGTGAAACAGGGCTTGGATTGCCCTGTGCGAGAGAAAAGAGATGGAGATGCCAGGTTGGTTTGACTCTGGGTTGGCGGATACGCAGTAGACCGAGTAATAGAAATGTGTGAGTTAATAAGAGACCACCCCCTCTGCTTATCTTTCGTTTTAAAAAAGACCTCGCGGGGGAACCGATCGAATTGAAGGAAAAAAACCTATGTAATCAGAGGAAAACTCAATGACCGGAGAGTTTGTTGGCTTGATCGCTAAACCAGCTATGGAGCAAATCAGAGATCTCGCTCGGGATCTAGATATGGGACGGGCAAAAGAAATCTCAGAATTCAAGGGTTTCTGGTGTCATAAGTCTTCGAATCATGACATACTATTTGGTATATGCGACCCGTTTGGGTCTCCGATCCTACTCATAAAATGATCAACTTCCGATTGGCGCGCTCGGATTGAAAATATTTAGCCAATCATATCACATATTGAGTCAATTGGTCTCCACCCATATCGAACATGATCATGATGTGGAGGTAAGCTAGTGATCCCACAACGCGGGGAACATGAAAATGCTACGTACCTCTATCGTTATCACATCATTTATTAAATCGACTAAATTTATCAATATAGGTAAGAGAAGTTTTGGTTAGCCCGGGCGCTAGTGTGTCTGCTAGTGGTATTGGAGGTATGGTGGTTGCGGGGCCCCATATCACAGGACAACCTAGATAATGCAAATTCATGTTTGTGGAGAGGACTGATAGGTAGTGTAGGTACAATCTAAGAATTAGAGGTAACTTATATAGCTGTTTGTACTTTTGAGTACTACCCAATACCTAAGACTGACACTATTGGAATCGGCACTTCACTCCCTAGGTGCTTTAGTTGATCTGAATTGACGGCCACTTTAATCCGCATCCCAAGCATATATGGCTATAGGCGGGATACCAAATGCATTCACAAGTTGAGCTCGGTTGAATCCATGCATGATTGTTATCAGGCCTGCACATGATGCACGTGGGTGCTATCAGTCAGCAAGACATTTACAGTAGCACATATCAGGCTTTGGTAAGTTCAAAAAACATTATACCTAGCGTTAATTAAATATTTGGGTTTGATTAAGGCTTTGCTTGGGATTCAAATTCACATTTCGAAGGGTGGAGTGTAGAACCAGATTTACTTTCATATCAGTCAAATCATCTCAACACTTTCATTTCGAGGAACTCAATATTTTGACTTGAAATCCTTCGATCTTATGTACGGCCGTGTGATAGAACCACGTTGAAGAGGACTGCGATTGAACGCTGTGAAAAATCCCTTGCTTTTCCTGGCTTGGGATCTCAACTGTTTCCAGCAATGGTTTTTTTTTAATACCTTCTCAACTCGGAAATTCCATCTTTATTCAACAGAAAATCTCATGAACCCTCCCTTCAATGTAATTCAATGCAGACTAGCTGGAGGATTTTTGGGTGGAAACCAGTCACTGCGTTTGACTCCAAAATGAGCTTAAACATTTCATTGACTGGCTGGCTCGTTTATTTTTACAAAGTCCAATAAGATAGCTGAAGGTGGATTGCGATATTCATGATAACCCCTTACCCTGAATTAAGGCATAATCGTTGATAAACACCACTAAGCCAGCGAGGGCGCCGCTGATTTGAGAAATTTAGATTGTGTACCATCTTTGAATTCAGACAGATATGCACGGGATATCTCGGATATTGAGAGGCATCTCTTGTATCATGATTCCCGAGTTAGCCGGTACGCATTTTGTGGGCGAACTGCCGCTTGTGTCTAGGTCTACTTCAGGTGGCAACCTCGTAACAAATTGTTGATTGGACAATACCAGTGAGGGAACATGAGACTCTAGCCAAGGGCGTCCATTGTGGGTACCTAATCATGCGGGGAAATCTAGGCGCCATGCTGCTCATGTGTCCCGATGGACAAGATATAAACAACTGGACGGTTCCATCCGGCCTCTGAGAAGACACCAAGACATATATATTTTCATATCATTTGTCTTCAAGCTTTCTGGGCTAATTCATGGTTGAAGCAAAGTTCTTCGTCCCGTCATCACTTTTGAAATTAATTACATATCTCTCTACCGCCCCCCCCCCCCCCCACAAAAGGATCTGATTTGGGTTCCAAGCAAAAAACATGCTTACTTCGGATCAATCTCATCAACAGGCAGCGGACCTGGAATTTGGACATGAGCATGATTTGGACGGAATCAAGAAGAAAAACCAGAATCAGCCTGATATCAACACCGACAATGACCCATTTGGAAATGAAGAAACGGCTGAAGTCAAGTACCGTACAATGAAGTGGTGGTAAATGACATTTCCAACCCTCTTCCTCCCAGGGACGACATTCTGATTTTATACAGGCAATGTGGCACGCGTCAGTCTACATCAAATCGCTGGTATTTATATGTTCTAACCGAGCTGGCTATAGTGATGGTTGCGGAGAACATATCTCTAGGCATTCTTTCTCTGCCATCTGCAGTTGCGACGCTTGGAATGGTACCGTACGTTTCTTCGAGCTAACCCCCCTATCGAGATCGAATACTAAGCCGCGTTCCAGGTTTGCCGGCTTGGTCGTCTTCATCTCTGCTTTGTCATGGTACACTGGAATTATCATCGGACAATTCAAGATACGTCACCCTTGGGTACACAGTATGGCGGATGCTGGCCATGTTCTCTTCGACCCTATCGGACGAGAGATTATTGGGATCGGGCAATTATTACTTCTAATCTTCATCATGGGATCCCATATCGTTACTTTCACGATATTGATGAATACCCTGACAAATCACAGAACCTGCAGCATAGTATTTGGTTTGATTGGGTTGTTTATCTGCTTTCTCTGCGCCCTGCCACGCACCATGGAAAAGGTCGTGTGGATGTCGATCGCATGTAGGAACTCAAATGCCTCAAATTGGGGGGTTTTGTCTTTTCAAAGATCGCAGCTGAACTTTCTTTTCTTCTAGCTTTCCTCAGTATTCTGGTTGCTACCATCGCCACCATTATCGCAACGGGTATTGAAGCCAAGGAGCCGGTTGCTCTCGACTCTGTCCGTGAAGTCAGTTTTTACAAGGCTTTCTTGGCTGTCACCAATATTATTTTTGCTTACAGTGAGACTCATTCTTCGCGGATTAATGCCGTAACTAACAATTCAGTCGCTCATGTTGCTTTCTTTGGGTTCATTTCTGAGATGGAGGAGCCACACACATTCCCAAAATCTCTGGCGATGCTCCAGATCGTCGACACAGCCATGTATCTAATTACCGGTCTTCTCATCTATAGATACGTTGGACGTGATGTTCAGTCTCCAGCCCTTTCATCAGCAGGCCCTTTGATGAGAAAGGTCGCGTACGGTCTTGCAATTCCGACGGTGTGTTTTGCTTTCTCTGTTTTCCAAATCCTTATGGATCTTACTCTTGTCAGAAGCTTTATCCCAGTGAACTAATCTGCCCTGGATAACAGGTGATTATTTCTGGCGTGGTATTCGGTCACGTCGCTTCAAAATATGTTTACGTCCGTATGTATCGCGGATCTGACCGTATGCATGAACGGAGTTTCGTATCAGTGGGCTTTTGGGTTGGTATCGCTCTAATTATATGGACCATTGCATGGATTATTGCCGAATCAATCCCGGCATTCAACGATCTGCTCAGTCTAGTGGTAGGTCTATTCTCATATTTTAACAGCCTTCATGATTATTGACGATTGATAATCTTTCACAGAGCTCCTTATTTGGAAGTATCTTCAGCTGTGAGCCAACGACACCCCTCAACTTTGAGTTGACAAACGAATTAGGGGCACTGACTCTTTTCCGGAATAGACGGACTCCCTGCGATTTTCTGGCTATCTATGAATCGAGGAAGTTACAACGCATCGGCTTCGAAAATATTCTTGACGATGGTCAATATAGCCATAATTGGCATCGCGTTTGCAATTGTAAGCGAATGTGTCGCCTATGCTGTTCTCTAGTGATAAACTGACCAGTGAACTGCGTTTAGTGCGGCATGGGTCTCTATGTGTCAGGACGAGCTATAAAAGAAGGCTCATCCCATGGAAGCTGGGCTTGCTCTAGCAATATTTAATTGCTTGAGCTTTGCGACTAGTGGGGTATTATAGGAAGAGTCGTGCTATAATGGAATCTCAGTGTTGCCGACAGACAGCTGTCAAGAAACAGAAAATAATTTAGATTAGGCGGTGATGCACGTGGACAATAGATCAAGGGGAATTGTTGCGATCTATTGACAAAGAAGAGGGTTAAACTTATACCCCTGTCTTCAATTATTGGTACTCCTGGGAAAGAGATCAGGTTGCCGCGTAGACTGATCAGTTAATCTTTGGGCTCTTCGGGGTTGTCATTTACAAGGAGACGTGATTATTAGATTTTGTTATGTTTCACTCTTTACTTTAAATTGTGACAAATTAATTTGTGACCTGAATGGGAACTCGGAGGTTGAGGCTGGAGGTAAGAGCCACTGCCCCTGGTATATAGTATGACAAAGACAGTTCAATCAAGTAAATGCGAGAAACCAAGCAGGAGTGAAATGTTGGCGTGAGAAGCCTATCTCGTGGGCTTGTAATAGGGATCTGTACGACAGTCTTGTAACAATTTGAAGACAAGTCGCCGGTAGATTTGGCCCACTTTTGGGATTTGAGACACACTTCCGAGAGATTTATGCTCCTTCGATAAACGTTTCGATCCTCAAGGCCGAAATGATCTTCTCCAAATGACGCATCGGGAAAGTCTTCCCATTGTCTCGAACTGTGAAAGGTGATTGCCACAAGTTTTGCCGCCATTGACTTCAATTCCGGGGGCTTTTGCAGTGCGTGCGAGAAGAATTCAAGTTCCAGAGATGCCATAGCCTCAAACTTCCGCTCCATTCCTAACCCCGTCGCCGATGAAGAAAGTGAGTTGGGCTGCAGGGCTGAGGCAAAAAGCCTCCCGGAAATACCATTCCAAAGTCCACGCTTTAATACAATCTCTCTGTGTACACAGTACAGTAGACTATCAGAATGGCCGATTGGTGGCTGTTCATAGACCGTTGGAATGATCCAAACAGGTTTGGTCATAGAGGATAGTCTATGAGATGGATGGCCTTTCTTGGAGGGCGTGAATAAAGAGACACAAATGGAATAGGACGTTTCAACGCTGGAGGGGCTCAGGCCGTCTTTTGAAGCTGGATGCGTTCTAGACCTTGTTTTTCCCATAGATGGCGGTAGAAGAAGATGGGCCTCGGAGACATGGCGGTTCTGTTTGATATGTCGACAAATATGTGGAAGTAGACGATCGGGAACGGTGAATTGAAATTCAAAGCTGTAGACCCGTCCAGTCTTCAACACTTTAGGGATAGGAATTCCCATATTCTCCATTGGCTGGTGCATCGAGAGAAAGACATGTTTCGCTTTCGTTGACAATGACCCAGAACCTCCAGTATTGTTTTGCGAAACACCTGGTTAATAATTCAGTCTCAATATTCATTCGGCATTTAATTGAGTCCGTTGAAATACCCTGTAGTAATATCTGTATGCCTTCAATCTCGATGTCTTTATTCGTGATCACAGAAGCCACTCCGTCGATATGATCTCCTGTGGTATAAAAATGCCTGCCCTCTGCATCTTGCTTTGTTAGGCGTATGACAGTCTTCAAGGGCGACCTTTTCAGAAAAGATAGACGAGATGATTTCATATTTGATAGCCTGCGTTCGAAAGGGCTCGTGATCCATGAAACAGTTAGAATCTACAATCGGATGGTATATTTGGAAAGTACACTAACCTGTTGATCCCGCTAAAGATAGCCAAGAGTCAAGTTGGAAAAACCTCCTAACTAACAAATTTCTGTCGTAACCGGATATTTTTGAGTATACGCCATGTCAAGATTACGAGGCATCATTGCACAAATTTATGATCCGATCTATTTCCATCCGGGTGCAGGTACCCGAGAGTGGAACCGTTGGTTGTAGATTGATTGGTTGGATCGTAACCAGACAGCAAGAGCCAATCACGGAGCTTTAGGTATCTAGCCGAACGGGCGAACCGGCGTTGGTGACGAAATTTTTAGATGGATGTATGAAGACCACTTTTAAGAAAATGATTGAAAATTATATCCTTCCGGGCACCCAGGTGTCTGACTGAATCAGAAGAAGCTGAGAAGCCGACTCACTTGAATCATGGACTTGGAAAGGAAACAGGGAAACGACCGCTGGATTTGAGAATGTGGCTGGTAGATGGATAGCCCGGTAACAGAAAGGAAAGAGCTGGACAAAGTGGTAGCCAACTTCAAGCCTTAGGCAAATCCCATTTCTGGATATCAGTTGCGGGGCACTGATATTGAGTGTGGAAAAACCTTCGATTTTAGGAAGCAGCGAAACAAAAGAAGGCTTTCCTAAGACTTTTATGCGGTTGGATGTTCAAGATCAAATTCAAATGCTTCAAGGCCACAATTCAGTCTGAATCCACTGAGAGTGAGGGCTATGGTCCTTTGTCCACTTCCACCTCTGCAGTTTCCTACTGTCTGACAAATCGAGCAATTCAACGATTTCCGGGATAATGGCAACGACTCGGAAGTTTTCTCGCGCCTCGGGGTCATAGAGATCGGTGACAAGATGCCCCTTAGCCCCGGGGCAATCATCAGGCAAAGAGTGCTTCGGCTTGCCCGGGGAGCGCGATCTGAAAGAGCCTAATCTTCTGGTCAATACAAACGACATTTTACCGATACGGAATTCTGGCCAGCAAATGTACTGGTGGGCGGTAAGAACATTACCTCTCATTAACGGGGAGTGGTTGGCGAAGTACTTTGTCACGGCATAATCCCAGTCAAAGGGTGTGTCTCCGACTCCTTGATGATCTGTTGGTTGTAATTGCTTCTCGATCGCGGATCTGGATTCTTTCTCTGCAGCGTCCATCTCACCGCACGGATTTCCGAGCACCCACGCTTTGCCCTGTATACCCCATTGTGACGAAGCCTCTTTGAGCCAGAAGAGTGCTTCTATCTCCTGGTTCGATGACTGAAGCTCTTTCAACTTCTCCATTCGAGAGTCGGTTGTAAAAGTGAACATGTCGCTTTCGACAGAGGGCAGATTGCTGCCATTGGCAACTTGTTCGTCCAAGTCTGCCTTCCCACTTGGATGTAGGTCAAGATCTGGGAAGAATCCACGGAATCCACAGACACGGACGCGAGGCACTGCCTGCCCTTTTTCATTCCTGCCGACTGTTGCGATTGTAAACTCATATCCCGGAGTTTGGTGTAGATGAACATCCAGAATATCCCTCCATGGAGCTCGAGGAGAAACATTCGGTGACGCAGCAGGCATGGTGATAGAAACGAAACTTGCAGATGATAGAATCCTCGCAACACACCCAGGATGTAGATGTCGGGAAAGATGTTCATTGGTCTAGAATTGAAGACAGGACTGTCAAAGTAAGGAGAGCGATCTGGTCAGGGAGGGCCTATCACATGATCACTATGACTGTCGGGCAGATGCTTCAAGTCATATGACGAGAGAACTCTCGATGCGTCTTTGACTGTGGCCATACTTCCATATCGGGACCGAGCAACCCTCAGGCTGAGCTTGCCAACAGTCAAGCACGACAACGCGATCCACCCAACCCCTCAATGCACGCTGATTGGCTTCGTGGCGAGAAGACCGACCAGACCAATGACAGCGCAGCTGAGTACATGCCCCACTCTAAGGTTTTCGAACGTTCGTCCAGAAAGTCTGTGCCGCTTCATTTCTTCTCACCAGCAAAATTATTCGATTGCCAAAGTCAACGATTTGGAGACCAGCCTTGTATCTTCCTTATTAGCATTCAGCGAGAAGGATCACTGCGATCTCATTTGCGAGACCCGAATCCGGCCGTATAGGCTTATCGCCGGCCCTTCCGAACTGTTCACGTCACGAAACTCAAAAGGTTTTTGTTCCAAATGGACCCCCAAGCCAATGCAGAACTGGCCCTGCTTATCACATTCATTCCTCATAGGAAAAGTAAAGAATCATGCGGCGATCGACGTTGCTTGAGTCTCGTGCGTCCTTAAGCCAGCAGCCGATCGGCGATAAGTCTGCGGAGACCACAGAAGGCCCAGGCTCCTCCGATGACGAAGATGACAAGCGCTCATTTCCTGAGAATAGCCTACAGGCATGGTCATGCCTCCTAGGCTCGTTTTTGATGATGTTTCCATCATTTGGCTTTCAGACTGCCAGTATGCACTAGACCACTCCTATCTGGCTGGCAAAGATGCTAACTCAAATCAAGTTGGATCTGTTCAGGACTATATAGATACTCATCAACTGGCAGACTATAGCGTCAGTGAAGTTGGCTGGATCACTGCAGTTCTGGTCTTTCTGACTCTCTTCCTTGGGGTTCAAGTTGGACCTCTGTTTGATCGGTACGGATCGAGATTTCTGATCATTGTTGGGAGCCTAGGCAACTTTCTCTGTTACATGTTGCTGGCACAGTGCTCCCAATATTGGCACTTCATGCTTTGTTTGGGGATCCTGGGGGGTATATCATCCGCTATCATCACCACGGTTTCTCTCGCAGTCTTAAGCCATTGGTTTTATCGACGCCGTGGTTTTGCATCTGGGATTTGCATGGCAGGATCATCAACTGGCGGGGCTCTTATTCCTTTAATGCTTCGCTCTCTTTTCCAGAAATATGGCTGGCTATGGTCCATACGAATCGTTGCTTTCGTAGCCCTCGGATGCTATATGCTTGGTGTATTGCTGATAAAGGAGCGACTCCCCACCAAAGCTACGACCAAGGCAACTATTGATTTCAAGGCATTCGCTTCCCCACGACTTTGCTTCCTCGCCGTTGCAGTTTTCTGTTTTGAGTTCATAATCTTTGGCTGCGCTGCATTACTGCCCACATATGTGCGCTATGCAGGCATGTCGGAGGACGTCCAATTCTATTCACTGACACTATTAAACGGGATGAGCCTATTCGGAAGGGTTATTCCAGGGTTTGCTGCTGATCAGCTTGGAAGATTCAACACGCTTTTGTCAATGGTATGTGTCACGCTGATCGTCATGGCGGCCGTATGGCTTCCAATTGGGGATCAAGACTCAGCGACACTATACGTTGTGGTTGCCATATTTGGGTTTGGCTCCGGCGCGTGGTTATCATTGGCCCCTGTCTGTGCAGGGCAGCTCTGCCGCACGGAAGACTATGGTCGATTCTATGGCACCATTTACAGTGTGGCTTCGTTTGGAGTTTTGTTGACGGTGCCCGTCGGCGGGCAACTGCTGCAATCGACCAGCCCCCAAGTGTTGATTGGATTCTATTCAGCAGTATTGCTCGTGGGGTTGATTAGCATGATTCTTTCGCGTTGGGCGTTACTGGATTGGAAGTGGAAGTGGCTAGTTAAGATTTGATCGTGCACCCGATCCTATTCCTCATGCCCATGTTGTAACTCGGGAATGTTGTCGAACAGCATGAGCGGGATCCAGATATCAGTTGTCAAAAGATTCTGCAATCTTGAAAAAGAAAATTGATAATTCCTGGAATGAAGAATTCTTTTTGGATCTCAAAGACACATCATGAGGCTTTCAAGCTCGTTTGTCGGACTAGCTTCGGCGAACCCTCAGACAAGGGTTGAGGTCACTTGGATACTCTGGGGGGGAGAACCTTGGTCTAATCTTGCTGGGTTATAATATACAGGAGAGGGAGGTTACGAGGCCTTATTTATATGCACTAGGAATTTCAGCGTTTCTGAATATATAGTGAGGCACTTTTGCTTTTCGGGCACCTAATAAGAAAGTATTGGCGTGATTATATTACCACGGGCTAGTCAGGGCCGCATACCATGTGTTAAAAGGGAATCTTGTCTATGGATTGGTCTGGCCAGCATCGCGACTTGCGTTGGCCTGAAGCTCCGAGGCAAAACCATTGGAGGAGCCAACTACGTGCAGCAGACTCCGATTGGACACTTCGGAGGTGCTACAGTATCACCAATCAGCACAGAACTGACGAACGGGCTTGTCTACTTCGGCCCCGGGCCATCATCTCGGTGAAACCCCTCCTGTTTTTCGGATGAGGGGGAGCTCCTGCACATTTCGCCATAGTAATATAGGGACGCACGACAAGGGGGCTCTAAACTTTCCAGCGAAAAACTGAAGTCCAAACAAGTCTAGATGGAAGGGCTGGAAGGGCAAAGGTAGTCGACACCTGCGAAGTCAGGCTCCACGGTAACAATCCGTTTCGCCGACGTGGGCCTTTGCCGAGTCGCCACTCCGCTCCATCACACGAGCCCCATGATTCTCTCGAGACGCCATCCGGACTAGGGACTAGAGCTGCCACAGGTGATGGTGAAGATCGATCGTTCCGAGGCTTGCATGCTGCGAACTGACCAGTAGGACCCCTGGAGCTGAAATGAAGACTGCCGACTCAACCGCAGTGGTAAAACGGAAGACGCGGAGTGGCTGCTTTACTTGCAAGTAAGTCTGAAGCCATCGTTGCTATTTCTTCTCGCCATTCAACTGCTGACTCTATGCCTTCATAGATCTCGGTTCGTGAACACAAGCCATCGAGCGATATCTAATCCCCACTAATCAACGATGTAGACGCGTCAAGTGTGACGAGACCAAGCCATCCTGCTGGCGATGTATTTCGACGAAACGGATATGCGAGGGCTATCCCACTCCCCCTCAACACAGCCTCTCGTTCGACTCTTTGACGGATGAAGAGCGTCGAGCCTTCCTCTTCTTTCGCAGCAGAACTGCCCACCGAATCTTTGGCCACCGCGATGCGGAAATTTGGCTTCCAACTATACTCCAACTTGGCCACAAGGAAGCTCCAGTCAAGCATGCCCTGACCGCATTGGCATCACTGCATGAGAGCATGGAGCCTGACGATGCTTGCATCTCCATCCGCCGATCCGAGAAACATGCTCAACTGTCTTCACAAATCTTGGCGCTGAAACATTATACGTCCGCCATTAAATCCGTGCAGACAGAATCACCACATTCATCTTTTCGGCCGGATACGGTGCTCATTCTATGTATCCTATTCGTCTGTTTCGAGCAATTTCGAAGCGGCGATGCTGCCTGTCTGCTTCACTTACGTGCAGGCTTCAGATTACTATATTGGTGGAGAAATAGTACTACCACCTACAGCAAGCTGCACGAGTACTCTAGGCCAACTCTAGACCTCATCAATAATCAGATAACACCAACCTTGCAACGTTTGCGTGTGCAGTTCTCTCTATGTATGGACTCCCGCCACGCGCTGAAAGATCTAGGGGTCCCACTCTGCCTGCCATTTCCAACAATCCCATCGTCCTACCCTTCCCTCGATTCCGCCCGAAATGACTACGACCGAGTGATGAATCATATTTTTTCTTCCTTAGAGCGTGAGGATACTACCGGTGGTGAATCCCCAAAGCCAGCTTTAAGTACGCTTTTGCGGCAGTGGAAGAATGCTCTGGACTTCTCTGATTTTTCTGAAGAGTCTCTAACATTGCAGGAGTGCACGAAGAAACTCTTGAATCTATACTACCATGTGTCGGTCATTGTCACAGAAACTTATAGTTCCAAGGATGAAACCATCTTTGACGGGTACACTGATCACTTTCAAACCGCCGTTGAGCTTGCAGAGAATATCACCGACATGGATCGCAATGAATTGCAAGGTTTCAGTTTGCTGTTTAGCTTTGATCTTGGCATCACTCCGCCGATGTTCCTTGTTGCTTCTCGATGCCGCCACCCGCTTATTCGTCGACGGGCTATGAATTTGATGATCCAGTCCCCCTTCTATCATGGCGCGTGGCAAGATCGATATTCGGGTCTCTGTGCACAACGAATCATCAAGATCGAAGAACTGGAGGCCGGTTTCCTCGTGGACGACATCAACGTCCCAGAACAGAACCGGATACGGAAAATCTCGGCGGACATTGAAGAGACACAGTCCGAGATTTCAATGCAATTTCGTAGGTGGCCATTCACCGTAGATGCTCCGGTTAACACAACTATTGTGAAACTGCAGTCATGAGTGCGAGGCGTTACATACTATGCCAGCTTTCCACTAGTTTTGCCAATCATCTTCCACCAATTCGGCACTGTTAATTAAAATGAGAGAAGATATGTTTGTAATTTATATGATGTCGGGTTGGTTCTGGTATGAATTAGCCTGAGTTTGGTCTAAATTAGCATCGGCATTTCGAGTTACTATGGACGAATCTTACACTATTTCATGAATTTTGAAAGCTCAACCAACATGTTTCTTTGTTGTTTGCATTGACTGGTGTGAAATTCTTTTACGAATTGAATAACACCGTCGTAACAGAATATGTTTGGTTGCGCCGGAGTTCACATGTGCTAGCGAATAGAAATGATTGCTGGCTTCTCGAGAGGAGACATGCTAAGAGACCAGAGTACTAGAAGTTTCCCTTTGCAATGCCCGTCATTAAATCGATATGACCAATAAACTAGGATGTCGGTGTCCTCTAGCTTCAACAATTCGCCTGTTCGCTGTTTTGGAGGAACGACCATTGAGAAGAACCTAATATCTCGGGTGGGTGTTTCCCCCAGTTTCCCGCCCCAGAAGTCGACTGAAGGATAGTAGTAGTAGTAGTAGTAGTAGTAGTAGTAGTAGTAGTAGGTATCATTTACACTGGCCCCTCGTCGAAACGATATGCATAAGGAGAGTGATACTGAAAACAAGCTGCATTATCTCCGTGTTCCGAGTGGTCACATCGGTTCCCCACATATGCCGACAAATCAATGATCATACTCAGAGAGTGGTTCTATCTAGCAGCTATCATAATAATGGCCGTAAAATATTCGTGGGTGAGAGTAACTGGGCTTTCATTCGAGGTGAGAGCCTTACGCCGATTGGTCAGAATGAGTTATTCAGGAAACTGCCAGTCAGAAGGCTTCATTCCATCCCATGTGGTACTATGGGGCGCCCGGCTAGATTACACTTCGCCGAATGATACAACTTGGATGGAGTCGGACCATAGCCTTCAACGGACTGATGCTACGTAATCATAGCTATTTTACTCATATAACGAATGCAGGAGTCCGAAAATATGTCTCGAGAAACTCACCAGCCACAACGTCCTGCGAACGTTCCCTGAAAGTTTCTTGTTGATGACCTGGATAGAGTGAAATCGGTATCGAACAATGACGGTTTCTGGCATGATGTGTCCCGATGACCTGAGGGCTGAATTTGCCTCGGCGCTCTCCGATATGTACCAAGATGAAGTCCCTCAATACGGTGACTTACTAGACATTGTGTCCACAATCAACCACCAAAACAAAGATTCCCCGAGACGGATTGAAGTTGAACGGCATGGTGCGATCAGGCTAGGGACAGCTGAGGAGTTGAACACGATGAGAAGGCTGTTTTTAATCATGGGAATGGAGCCTGTCGGGTTCTACGACCTTACAGTAGCTGGACTCCCCATTTACGCTACCGGATTTCGTCCTGTGCGAGAAGACTCACTAGCGCGGAATCCGTTTCGCGTCTTTACATCCTTACTACGACTCGACCTCATCGAAGATCCAACGCTCCGGGCGCAAGCGACCTCTATTTTGAATCAACGTAATATATTCACGGACCGATGCGTCGAGCTTATCGAATTCTTGGAAAATCGATCGACAATCCCTACCAACCTGGGGCAAGAACTTATTCGAGAAGCCTTGGAGACATTCAGGTGGCATAGGACGACCACAGTGGACTTGGCAACATACCAAGCTCTCCATGCCCAGCATGCACTCGTCGCGGATATTGTTTGCTTCCGAGGACCCCATATAAATCACCTCACCCCTCGAGTCGTTGATATAGATGCCGCTCACAAGGCCATGCAGGATCAGGGTCTACAAGTCAAGTCCTCAATTGAGGGCCCTCCGCCTCGTCGTGTCCCAATCTTGCTTCGTCAAACCAGCTTTCTGGCCCTCGAGGAAGACATTGATTTTGGAAATGGAAGGGACAAAGGCGGCAAGCATAGAGCAAGGTTCGGCGAGATTGAGCAACGTGGGATTGCTTTGACTCCTGAAGGTCGGAAGCTATATGATCGACTTCTGAACGAATATCTTGAGATTGTCGAAAAAGCCTCTGCTAAAGGGACCCAGTTTGACGCACAAGAGATACTCGCGGATGTCTTCCAGCAATTTCCCGATGACCTTTCTATGATCCGGGAGAAAGGCCTCGCTTATTTCAAATATGAGGCTACTGAGGCGGCCCCAGCCTCTCTCAACTCCCGCAATATCAACATGCTGGTCTACTCTGGGCACTTCAATTTCACACCAATCGTGTATGAGGACTTCCTGCCAGCAAGCGCAGCGGGCATTTTCCTCTCTAATCTTCAGAGAGAGAGCTGTGCAAGAGAAAGTCCTCCTACTTCTGATAGAGGTAAATTTGAGAAGAGCCTGGGATGTGTTGTGCATGATGAATTCGCCATGTACGCTAAGATAGAGGAGATGTCGATTGCTGAGTCTTTGAGCAAGCTTTTCCCGTGATTCAGTCCATTTCCACTTCAGACAAAAAATCCAGATGTGTTTCATTCAAAACTATCTCAATTTCACCGTTCATGTAATCACTCGCACTCACACTTCCTGCTGCCTGTCCTTTGTACGTGATACACATTTGTATGATGCCTTGAGTGGGTTGGACCCACTACTGGGCCGATCGACTGGGTGCAAAATCTGAAAACGCTCTGTGATCGGTCCGCTTGAATTAAGCTTCTTTCAGCCAATCACGGCGTATTTGCACGGGGCCGACCGGATAACGGCACCCGAAGCCCACGCAGATGCCGGGAATTGTACGGCTCTCTTTTCGGTGCGTCAACGTAGGGCGTGCGGTCTACTAGTACGTACCCACTTACCTAGGGCGTGCTATATCGTCTATACATCCGGTTGTATGCGCAGTATAGACTCATCTATCATCTAAACTTGGCGCATAAAATTCAACTGGCCCTTTCTATTTCATTTTTTAAATCGTTGTGTTTCAAAGATGTATTTATTCGATATTGTTTTAACAATAGCAACCACGAGAACATTGGAAATTGCATAAATCCATACCACTGATAAGAACTACTCCCTGAATTTCATGACATGCAAGTTTCATTCTGTCTCCAGAAAGAGCCGTCTGTCTTGAACGAAGGCCAAATGTCCGAGTCGCCTGACTTGCCGCGCGTACAGAGCGCACTTGAGCTGTCAAAAGTAACTCAATCCCCCTGCCTCTTATTCTTGTTTTTGTTTGTATTTCATAAATTTCTTTTTGAAAATATCTAAAGAAGAAGGTTGACTGGATATTTCTGTAGGGAAGAAAAGCCTTCATTATTCTGGCTGGCACAATTTTTGCCTTCAATGCTTCCCTTGGCGCCTCACTTCCCTCCGGAGCCTCATCAAATATTGCCGAAGCATTTGAAGTATCCGAAGATGGCCCACGCATCATTCTCTTGAATTCCCTATATGTCGTCGGCTAGGTGGTTGGTCCATTATTTTTTGGACCTCTGAGCGAGTATGTTGGTCGCCGACCAGTTCTCATCGGGACGTATTTTCTATATGTGGTCTTCACACTTGCCTGTGCCTTAACGCCAAACTTCGACGCTTTACGTGTGTTCCGCCTTTTGTGTGGTATCGCCGGATCTGTTCCAAATTCTGTTCTGGGCGGGCTCTACAGCGACATCTACGATAATCCTGATCAGCGTGGCAAAGCCATGACGCTCTTCATATTCACGGCGATTGCTGGTCCCATGGCTGGGCCTGTGATCTCAGGTTTCACAGTCCTGCTCTCGTGGCGCTGGGTCTTTTATGTCGCCGTGATTCTAGCAGGTGTTGGGCTTCCCATCATGGTTCTGATTCCAGAAACATACTTTCCTGTTCTGTTGAGCGAGGCGAAACGAGTGAACTCACAACTGAACATTGACCAGACTTATCAAGAGACAGCACAATTTTCTGTTCAGAAAATATTCTGCTGACCAATTTTAATACTACTAAGAAAGCCTATCATATCTTTAATATCTCTATATTTTGCAGTAATCTATGGACTTCTATTTCTCTTCTTCTAAATCTATCCAAGAGTCTTTGAAGATAGATTAGAAAGTCTCTAACTTTTTAAATTATTTTATTTATTAATATTAACTAAACTTAAAGGTCTTTATAGCCTCTTAAGTAGTATAAATAGGCTTATTTTTATTTTAAGTTTATCTTCTATCTCCTATACTTAGACTCGTAAAGCTAATATGAGAAAAGTAATATTTAGTTCTCTCTTTAATCTTTATCTTGTCTTGATATATTCTTTTTATTATTTTAAATCTATAATAATAGGCTAATCATGGATTTAAATAAAAGAATATTAACAACTCCTACTTAGATATATTGACACCCCTTTATAAACAGAAGATCTGAACCCTAATTTAATAATACTATATTATTTATAATAATACTTTTTAACAGGATTATTGTGACGGCGAGTGATGTCTCAGGGTCATGTGACTTCTATTTTGTTTGCTTTATTTGCCTGTCTTATATAGCTTGCTTATTTTTATATAATTATATATTTTTTTAAGCTTCTTTCTTTCTTTTCTTATACTAGAAATTCTTGTTAAATAACATTAAATTTAATTATTTAAATAATTTTTATATAATTTCTAATATTACTTTATCTTTTATTTTTTAAATTAATATTATATACTACTAGCTATCTAGCTTAATAACTAGTATTATCTTTTATATATACTTAGTAATATTAAATATAGCTAAGATAAAATAACCTGATTAAAACCTGAACTAGAATAATTAATAAAAATATTTATTATAATTAGAAAAAATTATATTAAATCAGTACTGAGTACTATAAATTTTTAATAATATCTAATAATCCTGCTGGAAGAAGAATTTAATAATTAAAAAAATATTATTTATAACCAGTTCTATAAATTATATATAAAGAATTCTGATAAAATCTTTAATATAATTTTTTATATTATAAAAAAAATAGAGATAAAGATATATAAGACTATCTATTAATAAAATAAACTTAATAATAATTATAATAAATTAATATATAAATATAATTTATATATTATTTAATTTTTTTAATTTAATAATCAGAGTAGTTAAGCAGCTGAGACTTCTAAATTTAAAAAATTAATAAAGATTCTTGATTTATTTGTGTTTAGTAATAATAAGATTATTAATTTTAAAAACTAGTTTCTTATAATGCAGTAGAAGCTAGAAATTAATATAAATTATTTAAATATAATTATTATCTGATAAACTTATATAACTAATTATTATAAAGATAATATAAGAAAGTATTTAGTTTTCTAACTTTATTCTAATATTTTAAATCTTTATATAAATATAACTAATATACTTAAATATTTAAAAATTATTTATATTAATTTAAATAAGTTCTGTAATACACGCTGATAATATTAAAAATTTAAATTAATAATTAATAATAAGTTTTATAGTTTTATATTTATATTCTGTTATCTTATTATAGAAATAAATATTATTAAAGTTTATTAAAAAAAAGATTTTTATTAGTATCTTCTGTCTAAGTTACAGGAGTTAATAATATTTTATTTTAATAATAATAATATAATATTTAAGTAATATATTAAAAAATATATCTGATTATCAGACTTAATTAATAATATAATAAAATATTATAATAAAATAAATACTCTCAATTATTAGCTGTTTATATTAATTATTATTATTATTATAATCATGATTTTCTTAGTCCTAGCCAAGATTTCTTATAATATTAGCTATACTACTAGTATAAAGCTGGAAGAATATATCTGTATAATAATTAAAAAGTATTATTTTATTTATTAAAAATAAAAATATTTAATTTAAGATTATCTAAAGAAGAAAGCAGGCTAAGTTAAGTTATTAAAAATAATAAAAAATAATAATTTAATAAAAGATAATATTTAAAAGTGTGGAAGCTGTTTAAATGATCAAATTTGGTGTTATCTAACAAAAATTTCTAATATGAGGAAAGAAAGAAAGAAGCTCAGAAAGAATATATAATTATATAAAAATAAACAAGCCATATAAAACAGATAAATAAAATAAATAAAATAAAAATCATATAATTCTAAGATATTACTTACTATTATATTATTTTCTTATTTAGATCTGACTATCTTTAATTAAAAATAAATTATTTTTTTTATATTTTAATATAAATTTATCAATCTCCACAGCTGTTAATTATTATAAAAGATACTTAGAAAATCCAGGATAGATAAAATATTTTATATAATAATTTTAAAAATAAAAGAAAATATTCTTAAAATTCTTTATTAGATATTAGATATAATTAACTACATTAAATATTAGTTATTTAATTTTATATTAAAAATAATTATATTATAAATAACTAACTAGAATATCCTTAATCTCTTATTTTATTTAATTATTAATTAATATAAATATAGTAATATCTTAGATTTATTTTAATAATAAGTTAAATATATTACGCAGGCAGAGCTTCTCAGAATAAAAAATAGAATATATATATATATTCTCAGGAAGATAAATCTTATATATATTATTAATCTTATTAATAATAAATATAGAATTATATTAATTTTCTAATAACTTTTATAAGAACTGGCCTTATCTTTAATTACAGATATTAATAAAAACTTCATTATTATTATTAAAATTAATAAAATAATAAAACTAGTTAGTCTATTATATTTACCAGTTTTATATTTTCTAGATTTTATTTTATATAAAGATCTAGATCTATTCTATATAGCAAGCAAACTCATAAATTTAATCTTAAATAATAATATATAATAGTAAGTCTATTAGAGAGATCTAGTTAAATAATATTTAGAATTTATATTTTTTTTAATTATAAATAAAGATAATCCAGTAAAGTTATAAAACAGAATTATAATAATAAAATTAATAAATAATAGCAGTTCTGACCAGTTATCCTGGAAATAATTAATAAATAAAATAAATTATTAAATTATATATTAATTAATAATTTTTATTTACCTATTAATCTGTAAATAATATATTATTAAAAACTTTAATTTAATTTATAAAATTCAGTATAATTTATTTTAAAAATTAATTATAAATTAATCTCTTTAGTTAGAGATAATAATATCAGAAGATTCTATCTAAATATAAATTTAATTAATAAATAAATAAATTATATCTTATACAGAGATCTATTTTATACAGAAAATAAATATTATATACTTACTAAAATAGTTTATTATTATAAAAATAATATTAAATCTATAATAGTCCTTCAGGAAGAAGTAGAAATCTATAAATATATATTACTATAATTAATCAGAGATTAAAAAAGATTAGAGTAGTCTAAATAATAAATCTTAATATATATTCTTTCTTTTATAAATTAAATAATTATTTATATAATATTAAATATCTCTGTTCCAAGTACTCCAGAAATATTATTATTTAATTAATATTATTATCTTTATTTATCCAGAATAAATCAGTAATAACTATTAATAAATCTTATTTAATAACCAAGCCTGTAGATTATTTTTATCAGAAATTATTAATTTATTTTAATATAAAAATAATTTATTTTATAAAAAATAATTAATTTTTTACCAGCGGGCTTACTCTTAGAAATCTTTTAAAAAGAAATCAATACAGTTTACTCCTAGAATATAATCTATAATATAAAGATTTTATTCTATAGAAACTACTAGTACTAGATTAAGAATTATACTAGATTTTAGAAACTTAAATTTTAATAATACTTAATAATAGTAATTACTAGTTATTTCTAAATTAGTCTTCTTTTATATAAGACAGTCAGCTAGTATATTATTCTTTTCTAATTAATATTTAATAATAAAATAATATTAAAATAATATTTCTGCCTAGTAGACCTGCCAGATATTAAATTTTTTAATAATTATAAAATATTCTAGAATTTAATAATTTATAAAAATTATAAATTTTTTTAATTATTATAAGCTTTCCAGTTCTGCTTTTTATTCTATAAAAATATATATAATAACTAATATTTCCTTATTATAAATATTATAATTATACTTAAATAAAGATATAGTCTTTAAATAATAAGCTATAAAATATTATATATTTTTAATTTATTAATAAAAGATTCTTATAATTACTCTGTCAGCTGTATCAGTTTTAATATATATAAATCTAAATAAATCATAATAAACTAATATAAGAATTAATATTAAAATTTATTTCAGAATCTAAAAGATTATTTTACAGGACTAGTTCCAGATAAATAAGATATTTTTTTAAATAAATTAATTTATAGACTTGGTAATCTAGCTATAATTTCTTATAAAATATTAATAAAAATTACAGAATCCAAGAAATAATTAGATTTCTTTAATAATAATTAAATATTATTATTTTATAATTATAGTAATTTTTACAGGATCAATCTAAATACCTATAATAATAATAATAAAATCTAGAAATCTAGTTTTTATTATATAAAATTTATATTTATAAATTATTACTTGGAGTCCGGCTGTCCAAAAATATTTAAAAATTTAATAAATATAAAATTTATATTTAATCTCATTTTTATTGAAGATCAGTATATTATTTATATATACTATAATAAACTTATCCAGAAAATCTATAAGAATCTTATTAATAAAATACTAGAAAGCTGCTGACTTATTAGTTATTTATAAATAGAGTGGGTATACCTGACCATTATATCTAACCATTAACCTGACCGTTAACCAGTGGTTAGATTAAGATATAAAAATCTCTTTAACTATCTGGTTAAGGTCAGGTTATAATTAAAAAATTATTTTAATAATTATTAATCTTTTCTAATTATAGATTAGAAAGATTAGATATAATAGATAAATTAATAATTACAGATTAATTTATAATTTTTATATATTTCTTATAATATTATTATATCAAGAATAAGATTATATAAAATACTGTATTTATA